CCGAGCGACGACGAGGACCTGGAGGAGGGTGAGCCCGGCACAGGTGGGTGCTCCTCCCCGGGGCCGCCCCGGGGCACACGCGTGTGCGCACGGCCTCGCACGCCCGCCCGGGGCACCCCCTCCCCCATCCCGGCCCCCCCCTCCCTCACACACGCACACGCGTGTGCGGGGGGGTGGCGTGTGCTGGGAACACGCCTCGTGTCTGCACGCACGGAGACGGGGGGTGCGCGGTGGGGCCGGCGCACGGGGGCACGTGTGCAAACGGGGGGGGCACAAGAGCTGCTCGCACACGCGCGCAGGCAGACGTGTGTGCAGAAGAGGTGCTCACGTGCCTGCACACACACACACACGTGCACAGACATGCACAGGAGCTGCTCACACGCCTGCACACGCATACGTATGTTCACATGTGTGCACAAGTGCTGCTCACACACCCGCATATGCACACACGTGCACACACGAGTGCACAAGTGCTGCTCGCACACCTGCATATGCACACACACGTGCAGAGACGCGCACAGGAGCTGCTCACATGCCTGCACACGCATACGTACGTTCACGCCGGGGTGCACGAGAGCTGCTCACACACCCGCATATGCACACACACATGCACACATGTGTGCACAAGTGTTCTTCACACACCTGCATATGCACACACACGTGCACAGGCATGCACAGGAGCTGCTCACACACCAGCACACACATACATACATTCACACGTGTGCACAAGTGCTCCTCACACACACATGCAGAGACACGTACAGGAGCTGCTCACATGCCTGCACACGCATATGTATGTTCACACATGTGCACAAGTGCTGCTCATACACCTGCATATGCACACACACATGCACACACACATGCACAAGTGTTCCTCACACACCTGCACACGCATACGTACGTTCACACATGTGCACAAGTGCTGCTCACACACCTGCATATGCACACACGTGCAGAGACATGCACAGGAGCTGCTCACACACCTGCACATGCATACATACGTGCACACATGTGCACAAGTGCTGCTCACACACACGTGCAGAGACACGCACAGGAGCTGCTCACATGCCTGCACACGCATACATATGTTCACACATGTGCACAAGTGCTGCTCACACAAGCAGAGACATGCACAGGAGCTGCTCACACGCCTGCACACGCATATGTACCTTCACACAGGGGTGCACGAGAGCTGCTGACACACCAGCATATACACACACACGTGCACAGACATGCACGAGAGCTGCTCACAGACCAGCATATGCACACACACGTGCACAAATGTGCACAAGGGAGATGGGGGGAGGAGGGGGCGACGGACGGACGGACCCAAGGACTGATGGACCCAAGGACTGAAGGACGGACCATGGACGGACCACGGACAGGAGACAGGGGGGAAACGGCTGGAGGACGATGGATCCACGGACGGATGGACGGATGGATCCATGGATGGAAGGAGAATGGAAGGAAGGACGGATACACGTGCACAGGCATGCACAGGAGCTGCTCACACACCAGCACACACATACATACATTCACACGTGTGCACAAGTGCTCCTCACACACACATGCAGAGACACGTACAGGAGCTGCTCACATGCCTGCACACGCATATGTATGTTCACACATGTGCACAAGTGCTGCTCATACACCTGCATATGCACACACACATGCACACACACATGCACAAGTGTTCCTCACACACCTGCACACGCATACGTACGTTCACACATGTGCACAAGTGCTGCTCACACACCTGCATATGCACACACGTGCAGAGACATGCACAGGAGCTGCTCACACACCTGCACATGCATACATACGTGCACACATGTGCACAAGTGCTGCTCACACACACGTGCAGAGACACGCACAGGAGCTGCTCACATGCCTGCACACGCATACATATGTTCACACATGTGCACAAGTGCTGCTCACACAAGCAGAGACATGCACAGGAGCTGCTCACACGCCTGCACACGCATATGTACCTTCACACAGGGGTGCACGAGAGCTGCTGACACACCAGCATATACACACACACGTGCACAGACATGCACGAGAGCTGCTCACAGACCAGCATATGCACACACACGTGCACAAATGTGCACAAGAGCTGGTCACACGCCTGCACACGCACACACGTGCCCAAGAGCTGCTCACACACCACCACACACGCACACACACACACACAGACTCCCACGTGCCCCTCGCACGCCCCCCTCACACTCGCGCCCCCTTGCACGTGGCCCCGCCCCTTGCACGCCCACACACGTGTGCTCCCTGCCCTGCGGCACACGCTCCTGCCCCCGTGCACACGCGTGTGCTCTGTGCACGCCCTGCCCCCCCCCAGCCCCGCCTGACGGACGGACGGACGGACAGGGAGGTGTCCGGGTGTCACCCCCACGTGCGAGGCCGTCGCACGCCCGCTGCCACCGGGGTCCTCGTGCGAGGACACCCCCCTCCCCCCTCGCCCCTCCCCCAGCCCGGA